TACAAAACAATCCCTCACTCCCCTGTCACCGCTAACTTAAGAAACAATCCATCACTCCACTGATCACCGCTAACTTAAAAACAATCTCTCACTCCACTGTTCACCGCTAACTTAAGAAAAAATCCCTCACTCCACTGTTCACCGCTAACTTCAGAAACAATCCCTCACTCCACTGTTCACCGCTAACTCAAGAAACAATCCCTCACTCCACTGTTTACCGCTAACTTAAGAAACAGTTCCTCCCTCCAATGTTCCCCGCTAACTTAAGAAACAATCCCTTACCCCACTGTTCACCGATAACTTAAAAAACAATCCCTACTTACACTGTTCACCGCTAACTTAAGAAACAATCCCTCACTCCACTGTTTACCGCTAACTTAAGAAACAGTTCCTCACTCCAATGTTCACCGCTAACTTAAGAAACAATCCCTTACTCCACTGTTCACCGATAACTTAAAAAACAATCCCTAATTACACTGTTCACCGCTAACTTAAGAAACAATCCCTCACTCCACTGTTCATCGCTTACTAAAGAAACAATCCCTCACTCCAGTGTTCACAGCTAACTTAAGAAACAATCCCTCACTCCACTGTCCAACGTCAACTTCAAAACAATCCCTCACTCCACCGTTCACCGCTAACTTCAAAATAATTCCTCACTCCACTGTTCACAGCTAGCTTAAGAAACAATACCTCACTCCACTGTTCTCCGATAACTTAAGAAACAATCCATCACTCCACTGTTCAACGTCAACTTCAAAACAGTCCCTTACTCCACTGTTCACCGCTAACTTAAAAACAATCACTCACTCCACTGTTCACCGCTAACTTAAGAAACAATCCCTAACTCCACTGTTCACCTCTAACTTAAGAAACAATTCCTCACTCCACTGTTCAACGTTAACTTCAAAACAATCCCTCACTCCACTGTTCACCGCTAACTTAAGAATCAATCCCTCACTCCACTGTTCACCGCTAACTACAAAACAATCCTTCACTCCACTGTTCACCGCTAACAATCCCTCACTCCACTGTTCACCGTTAACTTAAAAACAATCACTCACTCCACTGTTCACCACTAACTACAAACAATCCCTTACTCCACTGTTCACCGCTAACTTAAGAATCAATCCCTCACTCCACTGTTCACCGCTAACTACAAAACAATCCTTCACTCCACTGTTCACCGCTAACAATCCCTCACTCCACTGTTCAACGTTAACTTCAAAACAATCACTCACTCCACTGTTCAACACTAACTTAAGAATCAATCCCTCACTCCACTGTTCACCGCTAACTACAAACAATCCCTTACTCCACTGTTCACCGCTAACTTAAGAAACAATCCCTCACTCCACTTTTCACCGCTAACTTAAGAACAATCCGTATAACGCGACAAGTACACTGTCCGCCGCTACTTTCGAACAATAAATCATGTACGTGTCTTTTTAAGTGTCCACTGCTATCCATGTAGCTTTGAAACATTAAATCGTTAATTTAAAAAAAGAAACAGTTCCAACGCGACTACTACCTCAGTGTCCACAAATAGCCCAGAGAAACATAAAATAAGGAACAATCTATAACGCGACTTTTCATCGCGTTCTTAGAAATAATTCTTATTGCTTCTTCCACCAATCTCTAATGCGACTGTTCACCGTTTGCTTAAACACAATCTCTAAGGCGACTGTTCACCGCTAACTCCTTAAAAACGAACGATCTCTTTCGCGACTTCTAAACTGCCAGTCACTAGCTGAGATAAGAAAAAATCCTTAGAAAAAATCCCGTTTTCGTTGATGGCTTAGAAACAATTCCTAACGCGACTACGTAACTGTCCCCGTCTGTAATGAAAAGTTTCTTTTCACACAACCAATAGGTGTTTATATGTGACGTTTCGATGACTAGTATGGTATGTACTCTGTCACCTTCATCAGACAAATGACCGTTGAAGCGTATGTACACAGAGGTGTAAAATATGTACGACTTGTCCACAAAGCGATGTCGATTCGTCTACGCTGTAAGCGTATGTACAATAAGTTGTTTTATATGTACCCCAAAAATGACTCGATTTAGCTACGCTTTGTTTAATACTTGGCCATAGATGTGCGAGAGTCTATGAGCCCCTCATCTCGATTTAGAACTGATCCACTGCGGCGTATATAGATGGCTTCCTTTATCTGCCGCTTGAACGGATTGCTCTCTCTGTCCATTACTTTGAAGTTATCCCAGTCAATCACATGATTTTTTTCTGTATGGCATAGTCTGTGATTCCCGATTCATTTATCTGGGACTCCGACTGCTTCCTTTCTGATCTGGTGAATATTTCCGGTGTTCACCAAGGCGGACCCAAATCGCCTTCCAGTCTCTCTAATATATTTTGTATACGCATTCTGTGACGTTTTCTTTAGATATTTTATCCTAGGGTGTACTAAGATATTAGGAAGCGTCCTGTGGTGCTTCATGGTTGTTGCTATGCCATGACTGCGATATATCCTCTGGATGGTTTCAGATATATCCTTTATATACGGGATGACCACTTTACCTTTGGTTTTGTTGTTATCCTTGATTGGCCTTTTCTTCTTCTTTCCCTTACTTTGACACTGTTTTTGTACCCGTTTTAGGGCCCCTTCCGGATGTGCACATGTTCCTAATTTCTGGTGCAAAGGATGGTGAGATTTGAAGTATTGGTCCGTATGGGTCTTTTTTTCTATAGACCAATTCCTTCACAGTTCCATTTTCTCGACTGTCTCCCCTTTGTTTAGAAACAATCCCTAACTCGACTGGCAACTTTTTGCTTAGAAACAATCCCTAACTCGACTGTCATCTCTTTGCTTAGAAATACTCCCTTACTCGACTGTCACCTCTTTGCTCAGAAACAATCCCTTACTCGACTGTCACCCCTTTACTTAAAAACAATCCCTAACTCGACTGTCACCTATTTGCTTAAACAATCCATAACTCAACTGTCACCTCTTTGTTTAGAAACAATGCCTTACTCGACTGTCAACACTTTGCTGAGAAACAATCCCTAACTCGACTGTCTTATCTTTGCTCAGAAACAATCCCCAACTCGACTGTCTTATCTTTTCTTAGAAACAATCCTTCACTCGACTGTCTGTTCATTGCTCAGAAACAACCCTAACTCGACTGTCTCCTCTTTGCTTAAAAACAATCTCTAACTCGACTCTCAGCTCGTTGCTAAGAAACAATCCCTAACGTGACTGTTCGTTGCTGGCTGAGTAACAATTTCTAAGGCGATTATTTAATTGTCTGTTGCTAGGTGAGAAACAATCCCTAAAGCGGTAATTTCAAAAAGCAATTAAAATCAAATAGATAACATTTAACTTGTGTAATTATTTCTGTATGTGTAAAATGAATTACCTAATGACGTCATTGACTGACGGGGCTCGATAAGTAGAGGATATCAAGTTAGGTATATTATATGTCGTTCAGTTTAAGAGGTGCTACTCGCACCAAAGCAGACATAAATGACATTATCTACTTTTAATTTGATTTAAACTGTTCACAATACGGCGTCAGCTCAGAGGACAGAACACAACGTATCTATCGTGATCCAAGTCTCGGGAGATCTCGTGTCCTACTGTTTAAGTGAAGAGATTGGTTGAAAAAGTATTTTAATTTGTTTAATTAGATAGAACAGTCATTGTGACGCTTTGTATGTTAACTGATGGACAGTTGAACAGATTGGTAAATGTCAATACATTTGTCAACAAACTCTTAGAATTTGTCAAGCAAATCAAGTCTGAAATAACTGACTAAGTATTTTTCAATGTTACATTTTATTTATGCATTCATTCATTAAGTTGGTGTTCCACTGGTTTGGTTATATTTTGTTAAACTTCCTATCAAAAGCTAAGTCCATTAAAGGACCTTCCTCCATGTTTGTGTGAAGGAGGCGGTGGTATTGTCTCCTGATGCCGACTTTATAGGGCTATATCACTAAAAAAACATGCTGAACGTTAAGAAGGGAGTAAGAACTACAATGTTTAAGGACTTTGGTATGTCCCGGTCTGGGGACAGAACAAATTGCCTTCCTCACCAGGGCGAACATTGAACCAAAACATTTGAAGGGAAACGTATGTTATTTCAGTCCACAACACATCCTTCAGATGTAAATCACCATACTAAAGTTGATGCCACAATATTTAACTATATTTTTAGCAACCGTACGCGTATTGTTATCGAATTAAATAAAATCTCCCCTCGATACGTAGCGAGGACGACTTGACATTATACACAACAATCGACTTTAGTTACAAAAAGTCACGGAATTCTCCCCAATACGGCCAAACCGATTAGCAGGTGGAAAACGACTTACCATTACAATAAAACAAGAATAGAGAACATGAAACCACGGTAAATCTCCCGTAGTCATGCCAATTGTAGGCAAGGTATAATGTTTAAAACATTTTAGGACCATTTTGGCCGAGTTATGTTGTTTCTGTCGACCTTTTATGTGACAACTATTGATATTTGTTTTTCTAAGTAGAAATATTTTGTGTCGCCACCAACATTTTTTCATTTTGATTTGACTACATCATAAATCCTGCGATCAACTTTCATAAATATGGCTCCTCTGTGTGCGACGATAACTTCAGTGAGCGTGTATTATTTGGGAATTACGTCGAGTAACTGGCAGCCTGAAGCCATTCAATGCTTGTTTAAGACGTCTAGATACTGCTATGTACAATGTAATAGGATATATTTGGAAATGAAATACATTACCTATAACAAGTATAGGTAATATAGATATTAAAGTACAGCAAGTATTTAAAAGCAATATTTGGCACTAAAACATATACATCTGTAAAAAGTCAAAAACCTATTGCACATAAAAAATACATATTTCAAGAACTAAAGGCACTAAAACATATTCTTATATAAAAAGCATATTAATCCAAAGAGAGACACATCTGTAAAAAGTCAAAAACATATTGCACATAAAAAATACATATTTCAAGAACTATTATGGCTTAAAAAAATGCATGTACCTCTAAAAGACAATTAATACATATAAATATGACATATATAAAGCACTAAAATTTTGGGTCAATCTTGAAGACCTGAGCTAAACAGTTGCTGAGATGCTGAATCAACATGCACGTGTTGACCATATCATACACTATCTCAGTCTAAATGGAGTAAGTGGGATGCTGAATCAGCATACGTGTTCACATTAATATGTCCGTTCTGGAACCTGTCCTTGAGCTGAGTAAGGCGCTCATCCAAACGTCGATACTTCTTCTTTCTTGGTCGTGATTTTCCTCCAGCAGACAGTTGAATCATCCTAACCTCGTCAGCAGCCTGTAATTTCTGGAGCAACTTCACAATCGCATAAATGTTCGGGTGTGCATGCTTGCACATCCTGTTTACTTTACTGTGCCATCCTTCTACATGATTAGTTGTACGAGGCCCTGTGTTGTCATAGTGGTTCCACAGGTCCAGCTGCTGTCCTTCCACCCACGTTTCTGTGACATAGTCCTTGAAACGGGTAACCTCTGGGCTGTTGTCCTCATTTTCATCAAGAGCATTGAACCAAACGTCTTCCACTTGTCGGGTCGGAACCAAGGGTAGGACAGCAGCTCTTCTTACCTTTACGGAATGGAAAACATATATGCAATACATTTTTGAAATTAGAAGAATTTGAACTATATAATTATTATAGAGGCTGCGATCTGTTTAGATTTGATGTAATTTTCGAGAAAAGCGGGAAGGTGAAACTTTTATGACTAATGTTAGATAATTACACTTACCAACTTTCTCAGTTCATCGTCCTGTTTGTAACGCGCAGCTAACCCACATCCCTGTGTCTTTCTCCAGATGCATTGCGTGTAATGGAAAAAACAGGCTTTCACTGTTGTCGTAAGTGGGAACACAGCATTTATCGCGTTTCGGGCAGCTACTTCAAAGTCCAACATGGCTACTTCTGGTACCAACATCAAATTCATTTGAAGCACAGTATCCCTCAAAAGGGTGAAAAACCTGATGTAAGTATGTTCTGCTTTGTTTGGTAACAGTGCAAACACAAGAGGGAACATAGTTCTACTGACGCTACCGTGGAGTGTGTATAACTGGCTGAACAATCCGGGACACGAATAAAATGTTCCGTCACTGTACATGATTGTTACCTGACAAAGTTTTCTTAGATTGTCATCAGTAGCGAATATAATGATTCGCTGGCCTTGTTGATTTGTGTCATCAGACAATAAAAATCTCTCTCCAGCTGACGTTTCCTTCCACGGGTCGTCCAGCTGTATATCTTGCTGTCGTTGTGGCAATTTTGGCAACACTTTAGCTCTACTCCTGTATAATGCGGACTTGCAACTTTCAAATGTTGGTATTTTTTTTATCATGTCCTCAACATCATCATCATAGTCTCTGTCACGGAGATTGCCAAGTTCCTCTTCAAATATTGCCGGGATAGCATTGACTTCATCTCGACAACGCTTTTTGACATTTACAATGAATGAGTCAGCTGCTAGTGAAATAGTATCAGGAGGATGGTTGTGATGTTGGTGCCCAAATACAACTGGGATGTTATCCAGGGTTATAAATGTTGCTGGACACTGCCGTAAAACACATCTCCAATAAACACGGTTATCCCGTCTTGTCCGTATAGAAAATTTGTAGCCAGCATGAAGTAGGTAATAGCCACCTCTACCATTCTCTAAAAAGTCAACCTGTACTTGTGCATTGGCCATGGTAAAATGACTGATATATTTTCAAATTCATGATAAACAGACTTAATAGTGTGAGCAGTATTACCTACCTAAAATCTACCTGTACCTGTATACATAGAAATGTTATAATAGAGATTAGTATATCTGAAACAGACTATAACTGAGGTTCACTCAGGTTGTAAAGATTGAAATGTTGGCCAGGTGACACTGGGTATTTTTCAAATGTTGGCTAGGTGAGAAGCAACCGGTAATACTGTACAACTTATAAAAGTCTACAGGTATTCTATACCACTGAGGCTTTTATTTTGTTAGCTTTTACTGAAACCATAAAAAATGTAATTAAATTGCATTCGAACAAAAACCTTCCCGTTTATCTACAAACATGACGAATGAAACATGTCGGTGCCACGTCAATGGATTTTTGTTTCAAAAAAAATATGTGAAAGACGATTAAAACATACAATCGACGCTGCTGAAGTTTTTTTTAAATATTTTTCCTTGACACTCAAAACCTAAGATAATGTAAGGTTTCACAAGCCCCCAAAAAGTATAACCAACACAAATTTTAACCCCCTGTAATCTACGTCATATTTACAGACCCCATTTAAACATCGGAATTCAGGTATAGATTTAAATGGTACGTGGCGAGTGTAGCTTAGTTTGTAAGAAGACATGTTTTAGAGGGAGGTGTTATAGAGGGAGATGAGGGAAATGTTTTAGAGGGGTTGCTTTTGATGGTTTGATATTTGGGAGTGTGACAAATGCAGAAATTTCCACAGGGGCCTGTGCCTTGTGATATTGGGGAAATACATGTATTACATACAAAAAGCATGTTTTTTGAAAATGAAGTGTTTTTTTGTTTTGATTTTTGGAAAAACACAGCTGAAATGTTCTAGGAGGTAAAAAGCTTAATTCATCACCCAAAAAATATCTAAAATAATATCTAAAATGATACGCATATATTATACTAGTATCCAAATTAATTGTAAAATCTTATGCTTATAATCCAAACCCATATATCCTTCATAATGATAAATTTACTAGATCTATACAAGAGATTTAAGTAACCCCTAACTTGAAAATATGAAGTATAATACTATTAATATAAATCGTGCAATACATGTCAGAGTGTTAGGAAGGGAGACAACTCTTCCTTATGATATCCTGTCGGTGATTCGTAGACGAACCACGGATCTATATAATTATTAAATCTACTCAATCATCAATGGACTAACTTCATAATCAGATGTAAATAATGAAAAATATTGATAATATGTTACAATAAATATTATCTTATCAGATTAAGAACAAGAGTAAAGTGATTTACCTACAATCCACATAGATGACACGCTAGAGTCAGACATTTTCTCCCGTTTTATAAGAAGACTTACCGCTTGATCTAGATATTACATATATTAAATAACATAATATCAGTACAACTCAGACATTTTGTATGATCCCTAGCAGATGGTATGAAGTAACACAGGAGATTGATGACAATAATTAAACTTACCTATAAACAGACGTGCTAGCCAGACAGCTTTACCGGATACAGTTCACGACATAGTGACGTCATTGTTTAAGATCGAGCCGCAGCGGCGGGCAATTTAAATCGTTCTACAAACACGACATGTTCGGCCTTATACTTTACTGTTGACGTTTTAATCAGATTCTTAATAAACATTATCAGTGATAAAAAAATCAATTCAATAAGAATTCAATTATTTACATAAAGGGGATATATATATACATTTTATACCAATACTAAGTATATTGTACTGCCAAATGCAGGTACATTTTGATAATAAAATATGTGTGTATAGTGATTTTTAAATATGCTGTTTATGTAATGTTCCTTTCAGGTACAGGAATATCCGTGTATAAGTTAAACCGCAAACACGAGTAGAGAGTAGAAAAAAACCAGTGTTCATCTTTAAAAAAAAAAAAAATGCATTTTTTAAAAAAATAGTAGAACATCAACAATATATATGATAAAATGTTTTATAATGCGGCCTGACACACTGCTACTGTTCATATATACATGTACCGGTACATGATACTGGTACATATATATATATATATACCTATAGGGGAGGGGTACTGCCTTGACTAGAAATCATTCTTTGAAAGTGATTTTTTTTCTTTCTTTTTTCTCCACAATTATAACCATTACTATAATCCATACGTTGTAAAGCGCTTTAGAGTAATTTTACAAATTACATAGGGCGCTATATACATGTTGTATACTATTATTATTATTTCTGAATTAATGTTAATTATAAAAAGGAAACCGGACCTGCTTGCAAAATCCAAAAATGTGTTAGCTACATTTTAACAGTGAAAACGGAGGCACCGAATGTATCTGTACCCTTACATTTTGAATATCAGATGATAATGGTATTATGCCAACCTCTCTAGTGTAACGTCTTACACGTGCACGTGCCACCCTTCCAGTCCCTACAACCTGTTTCGTTACATAATGTGTTGACGGCTTTAGACGTTACAGTCAGTATAACACGGTGAGAAATCATTGCGGCAATGAAACCAAACACAATACCATAACGTACTTGCACATTGCAACTTAAAATCGTTAAGATGAACTTCAGAGGTTCATCACGAGGAAATCGGTTTTACGATTGTCACCCAGGTATATTAGACTTAAGAGGCCTTTCCAGGGAGTATGCTTACATAAAAGTGGTTGTTGACAATAGCAATAAATTCTCTCAGAATTAAATTAAGATTATTCTTCACTATTTTTCTTTCCACAGAGCCAGTTCGATAGCGCTCTAGAAGCTCTCAGTCGGTCGAGAAGAGCGTGTAGGCTGATTAATATTACTCGAGAATTTCTAGGCGTTAATGGAATTTCAATCTTGTTTTGGTGATAAATCCGGATGCTGTATCCGAATTCGTTTGTTAGATAACAATTACAAGATTGATATCACAAGACACGGTAATATCATCAAAACCTCCGGAGATTGATATGGATTTTAATGAAAAGGGATTATTAGCCTTTTCTAGGTACTGCTTTCACATCAGGGACAATTAAAACGTATAGATGACGTTGTTCCAGTGCCGGTGTCGTGTAAGCGCTTCCAGGACAGTGATCGATTCCGCGGGTTGGCACGGTGTTGAGGCTAGAGCGCGGCTACCTAAGTTACTTACACTAATTAGTATTGTGGTCCACATCATACGCCTCTGTGAAGGTGTTTGTATAATCAGATTCCAGATAATATGAAGTAAACAAAACAATTCCACATTGTTTACATATCAAACACCTAGGTACGTTTACAAATCTATTTCTGACATTTTGACATTTATTTTGACTGTTATTTTTAAATATACATGAAGAATTTAAAAATATAAAAAAAAAAAATGGTTTGCGTGTTTGAACATGAGAAGAGGCACAAACATATTATTTCCAAACATTTTTCATTTGATAAGAACTCGAAAGACATCGTAATTAAATGAGGAAGACTACGTTAGTGATCTCGACATGTTGATATTAACGAGCAACTACAAATGAGATGCTAAGGTATGGCCATAATGTAGTGATACGGAACTGGACTGGGTCGACCGTCGGTGACCAGGTAGCTCAACTGGTAGAGCTTCGGTCTAGCGTTCGGAAGGTCCCGGTTAGAACCCCGGTCTGGTCGTTGCATTTCCCTTTCTCCTGTTACTGTAATCATAGATCCACTTGGGGTAGACTTATGTTCGAGGTTAGGAGGGTGTGGGGTTGGGTAGGATTTCAGCAATCCCAGTCTTCCGGCCGGCCTGAACTGAATGGTGAACACTGTTACATTCCTTGCATCCATCAAATTCAAATATGTTCCTCAGCTGGCAAAACTACATCGATATAAATATAAATTGTATAGCATATGACTTCCAGCCACCGTAAATATATGTGATTTCATATAAAATCACAGGCTATGTGGTTACTGCGTTTGCTTTAAGCAGGGAGCAGATAGGATGAACACATCTCGTTCGTCTGAATTAGTCCAGGAAATTTGTCTGTTTACACCATGCTAAGCTAATAAGGAATATAACCAAACAGGGTCATGGGTTTTATGCCCTGTCATAAACTTAGATCGATACTGCATGACCGCCGTGCTACTCCCGACACGTGCAAGCTGCCTTTGGCGGGAATTCTCCTTCTCGAGCAGACGTTAACCGTAGTGGCAACGTCAGGAAGGTGTCAATACCGTGTTACACTGTTCCTCCCGAGCAATATAGCAAGCCCTTTAGGATCCAGTGCCAAGCATAACTACCCAATAATTCCACAAGTCGTGCGATCCGTTAGCCGGATGCCGTAATGAGATATGACTGCCCGATAGTAAACCACCGGATGTCAATACCACTTAGCATAATAGGTTAACGTTTTACTACAGGCGATTGGTACTGTGGAAGACTCCGAACGAACCCTCCGAGGGACATGAACAAGTTCCAATCTATTTCTACAGATACTTCTATAGGTGGATATATTACCTCGGAGGAAATCTAGAAGTTCTTTAAGTGGCATTTTTGTGTATTATCCGTCATTTTCGTATCGATTTTTGTTGCCTTACTTACACCGTATAAATGTATTTCAGATTAATTCATACGCCATTTGACCACTATGAATACACACCGTCATGTAATTTGCATCAATTATGCATTGGTGATCGACCATAACGAAAAGGCACGCATTATAATACTTAAAACAACTAACTAAAATATTCATATTACATTAAACAAACAGAAACAACAGACGTCTCATAGGCATTGCAAAAAGAAACAGGAAACACAAAACAACCTAAAATCATAACAGGAGTGAAAAAGACATCCTCACAAAAAAACAAAAACGGGAACCTATGTTATATCAACAAGGAAGGGACAATAACAGGAACCAATGATGTATTAAATAAAACAAGGACGGGACAATAACAGGAACCAATGATGAATTAAATAAAACAAGGACGGGACAATGACAGGGACCAATGATGAATTAAAAAAAACAAGGACGGGAAAATGACAGGAACCAATTA